ATATATATATATATATATATATATATATATATATATATATATATATATATATATATGTATATATGTATATTGGTTATTAAGGATTAATTTATATGAATTTTATTTTTCAGATGTTGTTGGTGTGAGAAAGCCTAGACGAAAGAATTTGATGATAGGATTGTTTGTTTCGCCAAAGTAACTATTGACGACGCAGAACTTTTTTTTTCATTATAATATTTTTTATTTTTTAACTAATATTTAGTATAGTATATTATTTTTTATTTTTGTTAATTGGGCATAACAAACGTGCAATCTTTGAGAAGAGATGGTCGATCAAATTATGCTATCTATTATGAATCGCAAAATTGAGCCACGGGTAGTTATACTGCAATTTTGTCGAGCAAAAGTTGTTGGAGGTATTTATTTATTTATTTATTTTTTTACAGTTATATGTTTTTCTAATAGGCGTATGTTCATAATCGAAAAAATTATTTATTTGATTGGCTGACCGAATTAGCCTACATAATCGAAAAAATTATTATTTAATTATTATAATTTATTTATTAATTCAATATTTTTATTTAATATTTTATATCATTTTTAAAATTATATTAATACTTTTTATAATATTATTTCATATTTTTCTCTATTTATTATTCTAATATATATGTATAAAAATATATATAAAATATTTTTTTATGAAGTTTCATAAATTATAGATTAGATCCATGTACTAAATTGAAATATAAATAAAATTTTTAGTATTTGCAAATAAATCCTTGCAACTCATCAAATTTTCAAAAAACTCCTTCAAAATCCAAATTGAATTTTCATGATTTTATCCGGCAACTTGAGCTCCGGCCATTCTCAGTCGTTCGAAGACCTCAGGCAAGATGCTAGGCCGTTCTCAACCTCCGTCCTTTATGAGTTGTTCGGCCGTTCATCGAGAGGCATATGAACGTGAGCCAGGCAGCCGTGCACCCTGTGGAGGTGCCGCTGCTGCAGATGGAGGCTGCCGGAGTTTGCCGCTGCCGCGAGCGATGATGGCGGATTTCAGCTAATGCCCGAACAGATGGCAGTGGTATTCACCGGACAATGTTGTGTGTGAGAGTAGCGACCGGCCGGTGAAGGAGAGAAGACGGCGGCGGCGCCAGAGGACGGCTGTGGGGACTGAGTACTCGTCTGTGTGCGCGTGTGTGTGTGTGTGTGCGCGCAGCGTGAGTGAGTCTGTGTTTTTGTGTGTTGATGTGTGTGTAAGTGTTTTGTGCGTGAGTCCGAGTGTGTTTTGTGTGTGTGTGGCATGTGTATGTGTGTTGTGTGTGTGTATGATGATGTGGCATGAGACCCACTGGTGAGTGGGATGGTAAAAGTAATGTCTAAATAACCCTAAATGAATAAATAAATGTTAAATTTTTTAGCCGTTGGACCATTTTTCTATTCGCATTTCTTTCACTAAGAACCTTTCTCACTACAATTATTTTCTCAATTCTATAGTTACTTGTTAAAAAATATTATGAATACTGAGATATAAACTAAGGTTTTGAAAACAAGGCCGGACCAGCCGGTTCGATCGGTTCAACCGAGAATCGTCTAGTACACCGATCCGATTTGAAGTATGAAACTGCTTTGGTCCAAAACTTCCTGAAAACCGTTTCAACCGGTTGCAGTCCGTCCGAATGAGCGGTCCAGTATTAGGCTTTGGATATGGACAGATTAGAATCACTTAAATAGTTGAATTGTTTTGTTTGTATTTACGATTTGGATTTTTAATAAAAGGCTGCTGAAACTTGATGTTTTATCCTTCCAGTTTTACATACGCATATATACTAAATAATAAACTCTATTCATTACTTCATTTCGAGTGATTTTTAGAGCATCTCCAATGCATGAATATTGTTATTACAAAAATTTTGACAAATACCAATGAACTAGATGGATTGTGAACCACATAAGAAAATTTTTAAGTTCACAACTTTAAATCTAAAAAATTATTTTCAATGCACAATGTAATTAAACATAATATTGTCTACTTGGCTAAAATAAAAAATCTATAAATAAAAAATAAAATAAATTAAATAATTAGATATGTTGAAAATAGTAATAATATTTCTCTCTCTTCTCTTTATTGGTTGACTAGAATGTGAAAGAGAATGTGGATGAACCACATTCTTCTCTATCACATTCATCCCTATATTGTATACATTAATTATGTTCACCTCATCACTACATTTCTCATAGAAAAATGCTACAAATACATAATAAATGTACATAAATGTGTACATAATACTCACATGGAGTGAGTCCACTTAATTTTTTATTTTTGGTAGGACTCACTCAATATGAGTGTTATGTACACCTCTGTGTACATTATTATGTACCTATAGCATTGCTCTTTGTCATTACTCTTTGTCTAGCTTTCCTGGTGAAGTTTGTCAATGGTTTCATAGTGTTGCCTTGTGAAATTTTTATTGCTTTAGATTCGAATTCTGCGGCTGCACTTGTTTGTTTTAATGTGAGAATTGGGAGGTGAATCGTAGGTTAATTTTGGGGCGGGGCTCAATTTTATTTGGTTGTTGGAGAAATGAAACCAAACTAATTTGTGTTTTGGATTGTCAATTAATCAATAATGTGTTTTAAAATTTAATAGTGTATATGTTTACTGAAGGACAGTAGCAGCTTTGACACAAATGTTGCAAAAAAAGAGAAATGCGATAGGTACATAATATTGTACATAAAAGTATTAATAACACCCACATTAAGTGGGTCCTACCAAAAATAAAAAGAGAAATACTATAGGTACATAATATTGTACATATGAGTGAAATAACACTCACATTGAGTGGGACCTACTGATCAAAAATAAAAAATTAAGTAGACCCCACTCTATGTGAGTGTTATGTATACTTGTATGTACATTTATTATGTACTTGTAGCATTTTTCAAATAAAAAATCAAGTGGACCTCACTCCATATGAGTGTTATGTACACCTATATGTAAATTTATTATATACTTGTAGTATTTTTTATATTATAATATCATGGTAAAATAATTAAACTATGATTTTTTATTTATTTTTTCCTTTGTTTGTTTAGAAAAATTTTATTATACACTACTAAATTAATGATAAAAATATATACATTTATTATACATGTAAAATAAATAAAAATTATATATTAATTAAACCGGTTCAACCACTGATCCGATCAGTCAACCATTGAATCGGTAGCTTCGCTGGTTCGATAGCCGGTTCGGTTTGCATTTTTTTTAAAATTTTTTTATGTATATTTATGAATTAATAATAGTAAATGTTTTAAAATTTTAAAACTAATTATCAACTTCAGCAAACCGTGATTGGATGAACCGGTGACCCGTGTTCCAGACGCCAGTCCGGGTGGATTACCCAGATTCACAGCATTGGTTCTCTGCAGACTGCAGTTTGCAGATGCATATATTATCATTCAGTTGAAGAAAGAAAACAGCTGAACTCAGGGGTGCAGTTCTGCAATTCTCTCCGGTGATTTTTCGATCTTCTTTTGCTTGAGATTTTGTATCTTTAAAGTTTGTTTGGAATTTTCCTTCTATTCTTCTTCTTCGTCCTTTATTGTTTGGGCTTTTGTGTAAGTTTGATAATTTCTTCCTTGGAGTTTGAGTAAATACAGGTATCAGCTGAATCTATTTGCAGCCATGTTCTTTTTTTTTTTTTGCCAGTTTGATTAATGGCTGTTTGTCGTGGGGCTTTGTAACTATATTAAACCGTGTGGATATTTTGTTTGGTGGTGATTCTAAAAGTAGCCATCAATGGAGTGCAAATGAAAGAACTGTAATATGTGTAATTTCCCCTTCTGGTTATCTCTATGTGAGCGATTTATAGGTGAAAAAAGATTAATGAGTATCATTGTGAACTGAATTAAGAGGTTCGCTTGTTGCATTTAGAGTTCCAAATGGATATCATATATCGTGATGGAGGGATTAATGTGGCCATTCTCATCTCAAATTGACCCATAATGCCCTTATGTTCATTGATCACCTTTACTGGGGCTTTTTGCTGGTGTATGCCACTCTCTTTTCATGACACAGATAAAATGGAGAGTTTTGAACCCATACCAACTCCTCTGAAATTTGTTGTGTTGCTAATAAAAATTAAACGTTCTTTTGGAATGTCCAGGAATGGAGGAGAAATGTAACAATCTGAGCGGGATAAGCTGCTTATTTGTAATTTTTGAAGAATGTGCACTTTTATCTGATTCTTAACTTCCCTGCACTTTTTCAGATTTTTTGGGAGCAGTTAACAAATAGAAGGGAATAGAATGCACCCCCCCTTAACGATTCACAGGCACCCTATGTGTGCTGAAGTAAGCTTTTAACACGTAGATATACATTTGTTCTTGCTTGTGGGTGTATTATGCATGTATTATCTGACCTTCAAAAGAAGAAATTTACATCTTAAACATGTCTTTTTTCGACAAATTTTCTTCTTCTGCTGCTTTTATGTCTCTTAATAATATACAAAGTGAATATTTTTCATGTTCTATTTGTTAATCTTGATTTCTGAACTTATTCTTCTGTTTCCAAATTGAGGATTTGTAGCCTGGCCTTATGCGGAGGCCATGATATTGCTTTACTAGTTGGTTTGATTCCAGCAGATGTGGTTCGTTTTGTTACTTTGCAAAATAAAATATATAATTGTTGTTTTTTAACCTTCTCAGACATGTATTTTTTCTCATAAGTGGCTCCAGTTCTAGAATTAACTCGTAATTAGGAGAAAGGAAAAAAGAGTTGTCTTCCTCGTATTTGAAATTTCAACTGGTGGTTATCTGCATAAAAATTGACCTTGTTTCCGATAAAGCATTGCAAGTCAACTGAATTAGTTTATTGAAAAATTAGAGTTGGTTGGATCATGTTTAATTTTTATGCAAGTAAGGTTTCTCAGTTGGCCAAGTGTCGTAGTATGCTTTTGATTGTTCGAACTTTTTTGACCTTATTTGTGAACACAGATTATTAAAGAGTTCCAGCAGTGCCATATTGATCATCCTCTTGGAAAATTTTTTGGTCAATGCACGGATTTAAAAATTAAGCTCGATAGGTGTTTCCGTGAAGAAGTAAGTTTGAATACTTTTGAATCATATGTTTTTTAATCAAAATTTTCTAGTGAAAGTTATGATTAATCAAGACTCCTTCCTGCTGCAGAAAGCTATTAAGCGGAAGGCAAATTTCGAAGAGAGCAAAAGGTTGAAAGAGAGATTGAAGGCTCAAAGGAAGGAGAATCTCGAGATGAAAGAAGAAAAGAATTTTGCACAAGGATGATGTTAGGAAGTTTGATTAGTCTATATTAGAAAAACACTGCAAAGAGAAGCATTCATGCATAGGAATTTTTTCAGAGAAGTTGTGATACAGATGCTCAGTATTCAGCAACTTCAGATTGTATAATGGCCAAGCTTTTCAGCTTGTCTTGTGGTGCCAAAACTAGACAAGAGGTTTATTTTAATTACAAAGGATACCTTGTTATCTAAAAGGAGAGTACTCCTAGTATTTGTTTGTCTTGGAAGTGCATTTTAAGGAGGAAGATTTGTGACATGCACCAAACTAATACTCCAACTGCCAATTTCAAATTCATTTAAATCTTCAGTATAAAAGTTCCTTGGAAATTCCTTTTTTTATTTTTTTAATAAAAAAATATTGAATCCTGTCATTAGTGTTCTATATTTGTTGTTTATCTATTGTAGTTGTTTTCTTTAATCAATGTACTACTTATATCAACATATTTTATTTTTTTTTTTAATTTTTGACTTACCTTTTTATCATTGTAATCGTCCATTTTAATAATTGTTCTCTACAAATAATTTTGATAATGTCCATATGGATTGGTCTCATCCTGTCCATGGGTAGAAGCTCTGGTACTTGTTTGGTAGTTATTTGTTGCAAAGCCTTATGGGGTGCATGTTTCTGTTTCCATTGGCAAGGTCTGCGAATATGATGTACTTTCATCATCAGTTTCAGCACCTGGAACAGCTTTTGCATTAGAAAAGTTAATCAAGTGAGAATAATTATATGCCCAAGTCTTTGACGTCAAATCTAAGCTTGATAATTGTGTGATCTAATATCAAGTTCAACCAAGTAACAATTGTCAGGTTCACGCATCGTGCACTTATTTTAGAAACTCTCATATCAAGACCTTGACTGACATTAAGCAAGTCGACATGGGTAAAATACGAATCACATGGCCCAATTTCGGACTTTGTCTGCTGACATGGCGATTTTCTATTAACATGGCTGCTGACATGGCAAAAATAAAAAATAAAAAAAAATATATAAACAGTGCTTGGGTTACATGATGATATTGTAACCACCACACCAATCCAAGTTAGATGTTAAATTTAATAGCGTCTAATATATATAGACACTACGTCTGAATAAATCAAATTAAATTTAAAAGATAATGCAAATTATAATAGTAAGATATAAACTTATAATAATTAATACATAATAGAATAATTTATATAATATTAAATGAAAAAAATAAATTAAACCGAAGTAAGATAAAATTTATTGTAGTAGAGTACATTTAAATTAAATAAAATAAATTGATATTTTTCTTATTAATTAAAATATAATTAATTATATAAATTTGGAAATGAAAAATAATAATGATAAAATTAAATTAAAAAATAAACTATATGAAAGTACACTAGTTAAAATAAAATAAAAAGAATATAATATAAGAAAATAAAGTATAAAAGTTAAAATAAAATAAAATAAAATAATATATCAAATAACTTGTTATGAAATAAAAAATTAAAATATATAAAAATATTAAATGAATATAATAAAATAAAAAATATTATTTGAAATTCATAATAATTTATTAAATTTTTATTTAAAAAAATATAAATATGTTATTAAATTATTTTATCTTATTATTTCCTAATAATTTATTTTATAATTTTACTTATTTTATTTTACTTTACCATTTTTTACACTTTATTATCTTATATTATATTATTTTTATTTTATTTTAACTGGTGTACTTTAATCTAGTTTATTTTTAATTTAATTTATTATTATTATTTTTCAGTTCCAAATTTATATAATTAATTTTATTTTAATAAATAAGAAATAAATAAATTTATTTAATCTAATTTAAATGCACTTTACTTTAATAAATTGTATCTTACTTTATTTTCGTTTATTTTTTCATTTAATATTATATAATTTATTTTATTATATTTTACTTAGTATAAGTTTATATTTTATTAATATAATTTAAAATAATTTATATTATCTTTCACATTTAATTTGAGTTATTCATACGTAGTGTCTATGTATATTATGCACTGTTAAATTTAACATAGACATTGGATTGGTGTGGTGGCTACAGTGCCATCATGCAACCTTGATGTCCCAAGTTTGAACCTCAGCCCCGAATCGGGACTCTGTGATTCGAATTGTCAACAATATCCAAAGTGATGTATATATTTGCCAAATTTGAAGGTGGTGCATATAATTGTTAAAACGTGTAAGGTTGTGATATTACCAGCAATTAGGCCAAATAAAGATTAATTGTAGCGATCGGATGTGATATATCAACGTTCCAAACACAGTCAACGTTCCAAATAAAGATTAAGCAGTGATTTTTTTAATTATAAATTCATATCCCAGCAGCTTGTTCATTTTTTGTCTTTCTGCGCTAATGCATGAAAGTGCAATTTCACATTGCCATATATATTGGATTCTAAATGCAGCAATTGTAACTTCCCCAATAGAATTTTGAGGGTAAAAGAAGCAAATATATGCCCACAAAAATTTATGCCTTAATCCATCCACCAGAGTTTAACTATTGGCAATTTGGCATTGGCTATATAATTGCCATTTTGGCTCAAAAACAAAAAAGCCATCTATCAAACTTCATACTCCCAAAACACAACACTCAAACTCGAGCATAGTTCATTAGAGCCATCCACCTTCTCTCATTTTTCAGGTCAGCATTCACTTTCTCATCCATCTTTGTCTCCAGAGTCAGAGTCCACATCAATGACCGGATTATTCAGACAGTATTGTCCTTTTCCTTTGGCCTGCTTGTCCAACAGCTTCTTTCCGGAACGAGATGCACAGTCATGCTGAGTAGCTTCTTCTGTTAACATTAAATACAACACAATATATTTTGGAGAAAAGACAAAACAAACTTCTATTACATATCAACTAATAAATTATCAAATATCCAGATTAAAATCTATAAAATGATCAAAACGGAAATATTCTTCTTCGTTAGTGCAAAATTTTGGAGAGGGGCCACAGAGATTTTGCACTGCTTTAGTAAAGATTACTGAATTTAAATGGCCTGAGCAGAATTTAAATAGCATGGTTATAACTATATCAACAAGCATACCTGATGATGTGTCTTGAGAGCCTTGTTCGTCATTCTTTACGTCACAGTCATCAGGCTCGTATGCATCCCGCATCACTGTCGGCACATTTTCAAGCAAACGTGACTGCTCAGCGGGAGATTGCAGTATCTTTCTCCTATCTAAGTACTCGAAAAGCGTGGAGACTATATAGTTAAAGTCACAAACCATAAAAGATCATTTTATGCTGACTAAACCAAAAAAAAAAGAAGAAAATAATAATAATAATAATAATAATAATAATAATAATAATAATAATAATAATAATAATAATAATAATAATTGTGCAATTTCACAGTTTATAGCCTAAAGAGATGAAATGAATTTATATTCTAGATAATTTTAAGTAATACTCATCCACAAGAGTTTTAACTGAACTATTTCACAATTAAGTCACCTAGTTTTAGCATTGCAAATTAAATTAGTTGAGATTTCCAGTACTGGCCATGCATGTAAATTAGAACAATCATACACGCTTACTATCTTGTTTATGCACGTAAACTATAGGACTTTCCTGCAACCAATTCGGGTTATTCATTCAAGACACTAATATTTTAATATCGGTAAATCCACAATCCGTGTTATTTATGGAGGCACGAAAGGAGTTCATGAAATGAAATGTAGCTTAATCTCTAATTTTGTAGCAACTCATAAAAGGATATTCTCGTCTTCTTCCTTTCTCATTGGCTAGCTGGATGCGATTGTGCAGCAATCTCAGCTCTTTATGGATCCACTGCAATAAATTTCATTAAATCCATATATTAGCAGTTAGAGTAATTTCGAAGTAACTTTAGTAGCTCTGACATATCAATGATTCTATTCAATTGAAATCAAAGAGTAGTGGACAACAAGTACAGGAAGGAGAAGTACAATTATAGAGCATGCAGTTCGAGAAATGTGAAATTTGAGTGAATTTGAACGCTTATTAAGACATAATTAACAAATTTCTAAACATTAATTTTACCGATTCAAAATACCTACTTATTTGGAATAAACAACTAGGTATGATGGTAGAACCGGAAATTTGAATTCCATTCTAAACAGTCAATGCAGGAATGTAATAATCATGGAGCTTACAAAGCAAGAAAAAAGAAAAAATGAGAAGCATACATGGTTTGTCACATCCTTATGAATAGCATTCACTTTCTGTTGGAGATACTCCTGCAAAAGAAGAGAATTAGTTAAGGGCTTACAAAAATCTCAACTCAACATGGAACTCACTGAAACTGTTATCTTGCATTTATTTAGCAACCCTAGGAATTTTAAAAGTAAAAGAAGTGGTTGTGATTAACTTTTAGCGGATACATTTTTGTGACGAGAGTTGTAGTTAGTGTATAATAGACAAAAGGTAATGATTGCGCATATCATAATTGAACCTTATTTTTTTGTGGTGCCGTACTTGCGACGATTGGTTGTCGCAAAAACGTAGCCTCAGGGCCCATTTTTGGTCATAAAAAAACTAGTGCTCAACCAAAATATCTAAGCGCGATTAGATACGGACAAGTTTGATTTTCATCCTTAGTGGGAGAAATATTTTCAAAATGCAAGTATATACAATTAGTTTCCAGTTTGTAGGTTCGTGTTTCCAGATTTTATTTAGTTTTGTTTAGTTTTCCAAGGATTCTATCTATTTTTATTTTAGCTTCAGCATTTTAGGGTATTAATTATCTGCTTTTTTAGTTTTTTTTCCCAAATTTCTTATTTACTGGTACTTTTTGCAATCTTTTCAATATTAGAACTTAATAAGCATATATATGGATCAACATTGAAATTTTAATAAAAAATTAACTGCCCAGCAAAAACTGTATCCATAAGGCGTTGAAATTGATATTAGGAATAACTCCAAACAGGATGTGACATGCTATGAAAATCTTTCAGCAAAATCCAACGAGCATACCAATAGGTGACTTGACCTTTAACCAAATTTATATATTTCTTCAAATTTCTAATTGCATCTCAGTCATGCAAATAGAATTGCATGGATACAACAATATAACCAACACATTGCAAATGAAATGGCAATATCTTTGCCGATCAAAGTTATAGTACTCACCACTGTAGGCCTCTCAATCTCGCCAGCTAAAATTTTGCTTCTTAATTCTTCACATTCTTCCTGCAACAAAAGAGTCACTTGTTAGTTGTTATCTTGATTAAAACATACAAGTCCTACAGGACTTCATATGCAAGGGAAGTTTTAAGAATATACAATGCTGGAAGGCTAACTACAAGTGATGGTATATCTTCTGGATATGCCAGTCCAACTATAATATTCTGCTATTAATATTAATGAATTATTTTCTGGAAAAGTTCAAAATATGATGGCACTGTAACACAAATCGATGAAAATTTAGTATTTGACAAATGAAAATAATATAGATTATAAAATAGAGGAAAACCCCAGAGGAAATCATGTTATCATAAGTTCTTTGTCTGCTTCAACTGAAGATTAAGTATATAATGTTGCTAGTTGAGTAAAAAAGCTAAAACCTTTCCAAATGAACGCAAGGATTTGGCTGCCAGCATCAGACTACTATCTTACAGGAAAATGTAGTGCTCGATACACCTACTGTAGAACCAATATCCATTGAGGACTACCTGAGGAGAACTTATTGACTGACATGATTTATGAGAAACATAATCAAGTTCCTCTCTAGAATGAGAATCCATAGTGTTTAATTGCTTCAAGGATATATAACCTTCCAAGAAACACTTGTTTGGAACCCCACTAACTGTTTTACTATTTGAACTGTGATTTAGTCAGATGTAAAACAAAAGAAACCTGCCTCACCCTTCCTAAAAGAACATTTCAAAATCTACATGAACTATTTCAGTTTATACTCCCGGAGAACTCATACGGCTACCTCAATTGTGAAAAATTTATCTGCTCGCTCCAGCATTTAATGTTACAAAAATCTTGTGGCACATCAGCAAGGTTATTGTGATTAAAAAAGGTGAAATAAATTAAGGAAACTCGATTACCTCACTGAAATCTTCATCAGAAAGAAACCTTATGTGGATTTCTCCAGGCATAGCTGAAAGTAAAAGGATAGCCTCTGCATTGTTCTCTTCTGTTGGAAGTGCTTTTACACCTAAATAGAAAAATCAAAATAAAGTAGAGACATCAATAATCCGTAATTAGAAAGTTTAGTCACCTGACTCAACTCTTACGGTCATCCGAAACATTATGCATTCCAAGTGAAGCGGGGAATAATATGGCAGAATGTCACAAAACTGGACTGGTCTCACTTTTTTGGTAGATAAAGTAGGTAAAAGGAATGAGATCTGTATTTTTACAAAAAGTTATTGATGTTATATGAGTATAGTTTCTTTTCTAGGACCACAGTTTAAAACATCATCCTATTTTCAACCGACAACAATTGATTCATCAAGTGTATTTGAAGACTAACCTTTGACTTGAATGAGCTGATGGGACAATCTTGACCGATAATCATGCGGATCAGATTTGACCCGAACAAAGCATCCTGTCACCTTTTCTTCAAATGATTCAGGTTCTTTAAGCATTTCCTTCAACACACCCCTCCTCAGATAAACCAGTTTTATGTTCTCAACCACAATCGATGCAAAACGACTTTGAGGCACATTAATTTCTTCCTTCTTATCTCGGGAATTTTTCTCTAAGTCAACTTTTCTTTGCCTCTTGCAGGCATTTTGAGTGTCTCCATTACTGCATTCAGAATCGTATCCAAACTCATCCTCGTCAGACTCTTCTTGGTTTTCGGCAAAATGGCCCCATAGAAGGTCATGAATTCTGTATCTACCTATCGTCTTTTTCCTGAAAAGATTATGCAGTAGTGTATCGCACTTTATCGATTTCTTTCTCCCTGGATTTATTAATTTATTTTCTTTGGCATACTCTTTCACAATGGAAGTCACTTCGTGCTGAGACAGTTTTTCAGTCGTGCTTTTGCCGATTGAGTTGAGGAACTCGACGAGGGGTCTCGACGCCCAGCCTATAAACTCTTTTTTATCGGATTTAATTGGCCTTTGCTTACCGAATTTCTGTCCGTTTGATCTCTTACGTGTTTTCCTCTTTTTGTTCTCATCATAATCAGATACATGCTCTTCTTCTTCTTCTTCTTCTTCATAGTCGTCCTCTTCTACATCAGATTGTACATCATAATTAGGTTGATAGCTCTTTTTCGTCTTCGCTTGCTCTTTTGCGGCGTATATATCTTCCAGCTCGAATCCTTCTTTTCCTTTGATGATGTCATAATATTCCATGTGAAGACCCTCGATTGTATTCCTGTCTGTAAAGTCCACCATCTCCTGCAGACAGAAACATTTAGGCCATTGAAGTTACATATAATTTGGTCCAATGATATTTCTCGGATGAAATTTCAAACTTGAAGAAGAAATTTGAGAATAGATGTATAATATATGTATATCTTACAGAAATCTGGATATGTATTGACTCTTGTGAAATAAGCCTAAACAAAAAAATACAGCTGCAATATTTTTAAGAGATGACTACATTATGTGAATGGAGATAATACAAAAGAGCCTAAACAAAAAAATACAGCTGCAATATTTTTAAGAGATGACAACATTATGTGAATGGAGATAATACAAAAGATTTAAAGAAACTGGGTAATAAAAATGTGAAAACCATATCTATTTACCATGGAAATGAAATCGAAGAGCACCTGTAATTTATCATGTATACCGACCATTTTTGTTTTAGGGTTGAATCCTAACAAAAAAAAAAAAAAAAATGCAGAAATACAACTGACATGTGTATAAGAATACCATACACTATTAGAACTATATTTTTTCAACTTCGGTCCAAACCAACCTTAAGAGATGAACTCAATCTGGTGTTGGCAATAAATTATAAATTATGAGTTTGGAAAATCATAACAGGAAAAGCCTGGACGAGGCATTAAGTTCAGGCCCCAGTTTGTTTGTCATCAAGAATGGGCATAAAACTTGAACATGCACTCACATGTCAAAATAACAGCTCCAGCAAACTACGTAGAAAAGAAGAACAGATAAAAACACAAGAAAAAAGGACCTCACTGCAAAATATATATCCAATTACATAAACAGTGTACAGAAATCCGTCACAATATATGCTAAGTGGCTGCAGAGATAACACAACACTATATCCAACTCCAGTCTTGACAGCGCTCAGTCCTAAATCACGCATTTGACGAATTATTGCTTAAAGCACAAAGTGTATTATAAAAAGAGAAAGAAAATGACATCAAGTTTACGATTATATGGTTAACATACCCCATCAGAGTTGCAATCCTTCTTCTCTTCAATAAGCAAAGCGAGCTTTAGGCAGCGCTTGCAAAATCCATATTTACCTTTAATTGATAAAATGTGCCCAGCAGGAAGGCATTTCCGGCACACGGCATTTGGGCAGGTGTAGCAATAAAGGTAAGAAGATTTACCACAGCCGCAATTGAAGCAATTATGCCATGCTGAAAACAAATTATTCATATAAGTTTCATGCTATCTGTGATAATATGACTGAAAAGAAAGAATGACGCAATGGAGTGATCTTTGAAGACATGTAGCTGGACTGTTGAAACGTATAAGATGGATGAAATTGGAGTTGTTATATGTATTTTCATTAAATCTGGGCGCTTCAGAGAAAATAAATTATTACCTGTCTTTGACACAAGACAATAAGATCAGTGCAAGAAACGCCTCAAGTATATTACATTACTCCAATATTTTGGGAGTTTTTGGAATTTATATTAGCAGTATAAAATTCTAACTACATGCAAATTATCTTAGGCAATGTTTGGATTGAGGGAATTATTAAGAAATTTGAAATATATAGATTTCTAATTTACAAGTTCAAATCCCCATGCATGTTGGGATGATAATAGAAATTGGAGGATTTTGAATTCACGCTAGATAGAAACCTAGTCAAGAAGTTTGAAAGTAAAAAAATTATATTTCAAAAATTTCGAAATCAAGGGATTTCAAATCTCTCAAAACAAACGTAGCCTTAAGTTATATGCTCAAGTTAAAAGTTAATAATAATGATGTGTGCTACGAGTTTTGGCTTACAATACATAAGTTGTTAATTGATGGTTTATTCAATACGTCATTTCATTTAATAATTTATGCTAAGTTGCATATAATTGATAGTTGTAAATTGATGATTTTTATTCAATATTATTCATTTACGGGATTAGACATCATCTATTATATTATACATACAGTGTAGCTAGGCTTCTTATGCAAGTATATCCATCCCTGATCATTTGTCCGTTATTAGTTATATAATTTTCAAGATTTTCTCTTCCTTATATCTAAATCATGATCCCTGCATACATATTTCCATGTCAACATCTGCGCAACGTGCAATTTATTTTCATAAGTAATGCATGTCTAGTAGTAACCATAATCAATGAGAAATTTAGACAGTTATGTAGAAGTAAAAGTTTTGACGTGTCCAGGCAAGCTAATACTTCATGAGAATTTGCACCCACTTGCAAGTCATTTGGTATGTCTTAGTAAATGCCCAAAAGATGTGAACAAATGTGATATAGAAATGAGCTAGTATCCATATTCCCCGAAGGCCGGTCCCACTTACTATCCATAATAGGTCTGATTTCTTATCTTATCTTACAAGGCTTAGTCACATGGGCGAAGCTACATGTACTAAAGGAGGGCGAATCTCTTTAAATCTAACATCATTTTCTTCTATAAATTCTATTAGATTATTTTCAGTTTATTTTAAGTTTATTATATTATCTCATACTTTATTAAAAACATTTTTTTTTTATTTTCAGTTTATCTTAAGTTTATTACATTATTTATATACTTTATTTAAAACAATTTTGAAACTTCTAGTTAATCTTAAGTTTATTATCTAATATTTAACTAAGTGACAAAGATTTAATAGACAAAAAAATCAATCAAAGAAATAAAGTGAATATAAACTACAAATAAAACAAAAACAAAAAATTCCAATTAATAACCATAGTCAAATCTTTGATTATATATAAACATCAAATTAACTTCCAAAATCATTCAAAACACAAATATATCACATAAATTATTCAGAAATTAACAAGAACACAAATATATCTTATCTTATATTATTTTGGTTTTAAACGTCACTCATCAGGTCAACTTGTCCACAATTGTCAATTAACAATTCAACACTTCTTTTATTTTACTATTAATTTTGTATATTAATTATTATCATTCTACAATTTTAGTTGGCCCATATATAAAAGACTTTAACTCTCTTTTATTGCCTAGGCTAGGATTGGTATTTTTTGACCGATTACCGAAAATTGAACCAAACCGAGCTGATGAGAAAATAAACCGAACCGAACCGACTTATGTGTAAAGGTAACTGAAAAATCAGTTATCGAAATGTTATCGGTTCGGTATCGGTTATGAACCCATTATGTCATGTCCTTTGCTCCCTCTCAACTAATTTTCTGGTTTCGCCCCTGCTTAGTCAAATGTATAATTCTGATATGATGACCCAGATGATAACCAAATAACATAATCTGATTATATTTCTTTTTAAGGGTGTAATTATTTAGCCCCCTAGGGCCAAACATTTTCAAAATAAATCATTCCTCTCCTAATATCCACAGAATGGTTACGAAAGTGAAAATGTTCTACTAATCGTTATTATAGAATCTATTTCGGTTAAGATGATGATTTTGCAGCCAGAATTGCTTTCCTGTTTTTATTCATATACCTGAGGGAAAGACAGAAAGAAGGAAACAAAACAAAAATAAAAAAATAAAAATTATCGTGTTATATTTCTTCAAGCCTAGATAATGGATTTGGTTTTAGTACATATGTTTCTAATTTCTAAATTATACTTTTATGCAAAATCCACAAAAATGTTACATCATGATTTAATTATTAATTGTTTACCTTAAATAGTTCCTACAGCAAAATATCATAGGAAAAGTTTGGCTAATGATCCATCTTCTCATATCCACGCGCATATATCCCCACAGAGGCACATGTGATCTTACTGCTGTTTTAGTTCTCATCATTGAATCAAAAAAGTACGCCCAGCAGTTATCAATAAATCCATATCCCAAAATTTTCCAAAACTACTTATCAATCATTTCATATCCTACACAAAAAAGTAAATGTATGCTATCACACCTTGTCAAACACAGGATATTATCAGAAAAAATATTAAATCATGCATATAACCTCTGGCACTGATTTCGGGCAAGAGTTCACTCACCGCAATCCCAATCTTTTTCGCTTTCCAAGAAAGAGACGTCTTCATTCACGCAGCCGGGATGATATGATTTTAGACAGTCCCTGAAAAACAGAACACACTTATTAATAACACTTAGCAGTATAAAAACATGAATGGAGTAATGGGTTTATTGATAGAAATTGTAACTCAAATGCGAACATAAAGAAACAAGCAAAAAAGGGAAGTACATTAGTACATAATATTCACATGCAGACATCTTTGCAGGTTAGTTCACATGTATTAGATACTTAAATGCCCATAATCACTATGCTCAAACTCAACGAACGATTACATCAAATCTACTACAATTTTGTCGTTCTTAATATTTCTTTCGTTACAAATTTTTGCAGCATGAAGTGCAAAAACTTGCTAATCTGTTTAAGTTGAAACATAGCTGCACGTACTTCACCAAGTAATCAAAGAAAATTATGGGAGAAATTGGATGTCTCGTATTATTTGAAGCACCCAGCAGAGTATCACAAATTGAAAGACAACTGAAAAGCACAATCATGCCACTGGCCAAAAATCTGACCAATAGTTTACTTTAAATCCAATCTCAGTTTAGCCTTTACAAACACTTTCATTTAATATATTTCATGGATGCAATGTAGGCTAGATCATTCCAGCAAAAAATAATACCAATTCAAGCTCACTTGNAGCAAAAAAAAAAAAAAATAAGGCCTAGATAGCAATTCCGATGTTTACACCTTAAATCTCAACCACGTATCCCACATAACGATTACCAAGCAAGTGTTATACATACTATTTTATTCCTTGCAGATATGAAGCAGAATAAAAGTAAAACCACATTCAGTTTCAACTCTATGTTATACGAACTATGTTTACAACATTTTCGTCATCCATTTTGCAAGCCGTCAGCCGTGACACAAGATACAAACTGAAAGTTTATCTGACAAAATCCCACCACAAATCAGCCAAGTCAAGCAATTTATGTCCCCAAGTGTTTTGAAAACTTCATTTTCCAGTTGTCTTTGTTATCCTCCACACAGCACAGAAAATTCCATTAATTATGAAAGCATGGTATTATTAATGTTACCACAAGAAAAATCGTATAATGGGCAACTAATTTGCATTTTCCAACCACATGCACGAGGCCCACCACCCTCCCCACCACACAGGACCACACAACACACACACAAAGAATAAAAAGTGGAATATGATAACACAGAAATGGCTTTCAGAGGTGTGGCGGCACTTTAGACTACAATGAATAAAAAAAAAACAAGAAACAAAAGAAATATTAATCCCCCCAATAGCACGGAAAGACAAATAAACCCCCATTCCAAAAAACTGAGCCCAACACCCGAAAACAAGAAAAACATTTTGGCTCAAATAGCGAAAAGCTGGTTGGTCACTATCTCTCTCTCATCACACTACACTTGTCCAATCAACTTCTCCATTCCCAGATTTCACGTTTTCTACACGAAAGGCTGGATTTAATGACCAAATAAGCAGTTCACCCCACGCATAAACAACGAAAACAGTAGTAAAAAACGGAAAAATAAAAATAAAAAAACAGAGAGAACACACTTGTAATCACATATGCGAACGTCGCCCCCTTCTTTACAGACGAAGCACCAGTCCTCGGACTCTTCGTCCTTGTTAATTTCCTTCTCCTTTTCGCCTCTGCCTGTCATCTCCGCGGGAAAAAAAAAAAAATCGTTGCTTTCTTGGTTTTCTTTCCCCTGCAAAAACCCACAGGAAATTTTTCCGTTTAGCTTTATCTGTATTTTTCAAAGCAGAAAACAAAGGATGCTAAAAATATGCTAAAACCCCACAAATGTAGAGTGATTAAAGCCAAGTTTCAGCACAGGGAGAGAAGATTAGTGTATGAATGTTGAGTGAAAATGAAAGTTTTTGGAGGTTTCGAAACTTATCATGCAGGTGGGAGTAAGAGGTTCATATAAAAATTGGAGAGAAACAGAACGAATAGCAGCAGCAAGTCATACAAAAGGGATTACAGTACAGGTGCCCTTATCAGCAGCAGAATTTCAGATTTTCAGCAGACGATTTTATGCAATTTTTTAATTAATTAACAAAATCTCTCGAGTAATATAAAGTTTGCTTTCTTCGGAGTTGGGCCCACTGAGTCCATTTATGGATCGGACTGCGGCAGTTCTTATATCACGAGTCACACTCCGCTACTGCTTTCCACAAAATATGAATTATGATTGCTAGTATGACACGCATAAATCTCGAGAAATGGTTGCTACAGTATTCCATTCCTACTTATAAAGTGCATTTTATTAGTAAAGTGCACGTGTGATCACGTTGGTAAATGTTTTTTGGTTAATTAAGTTTAATAAAAAAAATTAATTAATTTATTAAATATATCATTGCATGAATAAAATAAAATGTACAACAAATGAACTCTTAATTATTTTTTTCAAAAATAATATAATGATGTCTTTATATAAAAAAATAAAATAACATATTACAACTCTAACAAATATATATGAAAATGAGTCCTTAATGACAAAAAAACACTCGGATACAAGGACATCGATAAGCTAAACCACTAAATAAGACACTCAATTTCCTAAATTGGTACCAGTTTTACTAATAATAGTACCACATATTCTTCTATGTAGTACAAGTTCTTGATGAATTAGTATCTACTTTGTAGAAAGAACAAAAAATGGATTACTTCAATTTTGGTCAACATTTGTAAAAATTGGTACAAGACCTAGAGTAAGATAGTACCAGCTTTTAGTGTTTTAGTACCATATATCTGGTCTTTAGTACCAACTTCGGCGAACATAAAAAAACACCCAATTTCCTAAATTGGTACCAGTTTTACTGATAATAGTACCACATATTCTTCTACGTAGTACCATTTTTTTGTTAGGCAATATTTAACAACGACAATAACAAACAAGTAGTTAAGATGCAAAAAGGTATGTGTTTGTAGATTATCATATTTATAATCGGATTATATAATATGAATTTATATTACTGTGCTTATACAAGTGTATTATTTGTAGGGTGGCCAAGTTACTTGTATTATTCAACCGTTAATGTTTCCATTTTCATCAACAATTTCGAGTAGGGTTCTTTGTATACTATTATATAATACCAAGTCGAGAACATTATCAGCCTATACAAATTAATTATTGTTGTCATTCACGACAAGAATGTTGTGTATAATGAAGTGTTCAATAATGTATGATTTTCATTTATATTTTTTTTATTTCCATGATGAGTATTTTATACAAAAAAAAAAAAATATATATTAAATCTACCTTTCAATAATATGTGATTTTCATATTTAGTACCTTTTTTTATTTCCACAATGAATAAGATATCTAATTAGAAATAATTACATTTAAATTAAGTTATACAAAAAATTATGAAAAAAGCTCACATTGCACAAGTTGCCTACTAGTTACTACATAAGCAATTCTCAATTTTCGGTGCAAAAAATTTTACAACCCCATTTTGGTTGTAGTAGTCGAGAATATATTCCTCTTTATTTCTAAAGTATCTGCAAACACTCTCATAAACTTATTCCTACAAAACTATCTACTCCTAACAGTGATCCAATCGTCTGATCCCTCCAAATCCTTTCCCCAACATTTCTTCTCATAGAAACATAACTTCTCCAACAAAGAAACTCTACCCACAAACTCATCATCACACAAATCACTATCATCATCTGAATTGTAACTGATGGCCACATCCAAAACACTCGTGGGCGAGACCACACCCGATCCCTTCCCCGAACTCACAAAAGGGTGATCGAGAAGCCTCTCGCTCGTCCACCTCTCTCGCGGGTCTCTCCTTAGACACTTGGAAAGAAAATCCAACCCTTCATTTGAAAAACCGCGCGGAAACTCAGGCAGACCATCCCCTTTCGCTATCTTTACCATCACGCCCATCGGGTTATGATCCCATGCATCGCCTCCCCACGGTGGCCTCCCCGTGGCCATCTCGATCACCGTACACCCCAATGACCATATGTCGGCCGCAAAATCAAGCCGCTCGTTTCTCAACACCTCTGGAGCCATCCACAGAGGGGTCCCACCGAAAGGCTTTTCATCGCTACTCCACACAACTCGCGCGCACCCAAAATCGGCCAATCTTATCTCGCCCGAATTCGGGTTTAAAAGCACGTTCTTGCACTTGATATCCGAATGAACGATACCGTTATCGTGTAAGTACTTCAGACCGTGCAAGATTTCTCGAGTATAGAGTCGGATAAGTTTTTCGTCCAATGTCCCTCCGAACTTTCGGGACAGGTCAGATAAGCTGCCACCTGGCACGTACTCGAAGAAGAGGGTGTACCCATTTTTGGAATCTTTTCCCATGCACTTGATGATGTGGCGGGAATTTAGTTTTTCGAGGATACGGGCCTCGTTTTTTAGGGAACTGACACCGGATTCGGATCTTGCTGATTTGGCAACAAAAAGGGCTCCGGTGGTGTTGTCGATGGCTAGGTGGACTGTACCGTAAGAGCCCGATCCAATAATACTGCCCTTTAACCAGTCTGTAGGATGTGGAGAACACATTTTATCTACTATTTTTTTCTCTCTTTATGGCAAATGATTTGTAGGTGCGTAGATGTTTGGTTGGATTTCAGGAGAGTGGCAATGCAACTAATTTTTCTGTCTATTGAAACACATGCGAAT